CCTGAGAAGGCTACTTTGTACCTCCGCTGCGAGAGCCGCTGTATGCTCCTCCGTACGGAGGAAGCATTCAGTGTTTCCGTTGACCGTAATTACTCCTCGAGGGTCTGGCATCTTGAACTTGAGATATGCGTAGTGCGGCACCGCATTGAATTTTGCGAATGCGGTTCGTCCGAGCAGGGCGTGATAGCCACTGCGAAACGGGACTATATCGAAGATTAACTCTTCGCTTCGGAAATTGTCCGGGGATCCGAAGACCACGTCAAGTGTTACTGAGCCTGTACAGTTGGCTTCTACACCTGGTATAACGCCTTTAAAGGTCGTTCTTGTGGGCTTAATCCTTGAGGGATCTATGCCCATTTTCCGCACTGTATCTTGATAAAGCAGGTTCAGGCTACTGCTGCCGTCCATGAGGACTCTTGTGAGATGAAATCCGTCGATGATTGGGTCGAGAACCAATGCGGCGAAGCCGCCATGACGGATGCTAGTGGGATGGTCCCTTCAATCAAAAGTGATCGGGCAGGAGGACCATGGGTTGAACTTTGGGGCGACTGGCTCCATCGCGTATATGTCCCGTAGCGCACGATTCCGCTCCCGCTTGGGAATGTGGGTTGCGTATATCATGTTCACCGTCCGCACTTGTGGGGGAAAGCCCTTCTGTCCATTGTTGTTCGGCGGCTTGGGCTCCTCGTCGTCGCTGTGCAGCCCCTTGTCTCTGTTTTCGGCCCTTAACTTGCCTGCCTGCTTGAACACCCAACAATCCCTGTTAGTGTGATTGGCTGGTCTTTCGGGGGTGCCATGTATCTGGCACAAGCGATCAAGTATTCGGTCCAAACTGGACGGGCCCTGAGTATTCTTTTTGAATGGCTTTTTCCGCTGACCGGATTTATAGTCTTTGAATCCGGCATTGACTGCCGTGTCTTCATTGTTGTCGCTGCTAACATGGCGTTTTTGCTTATTCCGACGTGTCCTGCCACTTTTGTCCTTGGTATTCGAATTACAAGGGTTCTTTGATAAGTTGTTACTGCGAGCTAGCCAACTGCCTTCTCCCGCGCAAAAGCGGGTCATGAGTGTCGTGAGGGCTGCCATGGATTTCGGCTTTTCCTGTCCCAGGTGCCGGGCAAGCCACTCGTCGCAGATGTTATGCTTGAAGGCTGCTAGGGCCTCTGCGTCCGGACAGTCGACTATCTGGTTTTTCTTTGTTAGGAACCGTGTCCAGAATTGTCTGGCCGATTCCTCTGGCTGCTGAATTATGTGGCTTATGTCGTCGGCATCCGGTGGTCGCACGTAAGTGCCCTGGAAGTTGTCGAGGAATGCGGCTTCCAGGTCCTCCCAAGAACCGATTGAGTCTGCTGGCAAGCTGTTAAGCCAATGCCGGGCCGGTCCTTTAAGTTTGAGAGGGAGGTATTTGATGGCGTGTAGATCATCGCCGCGTGCCATGTGGATGTGAAGGAGATAATCCTCGATCCATACCGCCGGATCTGTTGTGCCATCGTATGATTCGATGTTTACGGGTTTGAAACCCTCTGGGATTTTATGATCCATTACTTCATTCGTGAAGCATAGCGGGTGTGCAGCGCCTCTGTACTGGGCTATATCACGACGCAGCTCGGAAGAGCTATGTCTGTTGTGTTCGGCCCGGCCGGATTTGTTGTATCCGGAGTGAAGATCATTGTCACATGCCGTAGGGCGCTTGCGCGATCCGTAGATCGATCTTGTTTGTCTTGCCTTATCCTCCAGTATGTCTCGCAGGTCGGGCGCATTTTCCCGTGCCTTAGTTGAGCGGCGTCGGGGCATGGCTTGGGTGGAGGGCCGAGAGGCCTCTCTGTCGCGGCCGCGAGGTGGCCGGTCTACCATGTCATGCGCTGGTGATGTAGGTGCTTCCTCCTCTGATCGGGGTAGCGGCCTGCGCTTCGGGTAACTCTTGGAGGGGCGTTCGAGTTCATACTCTTCGGCCGCAAGGACTTCAGTCCATCTGTCAGCTAGCAAATCTTGGGCAGCTCTAAGCTGTTGCTGCTTTTTCTTGAGGCTGCTTTCCGTGGCTAAAAGCCTGCGTTTAAAACGCTCTTGTTCGGCGGGGTCTGATGGTATGACGAATTCATCGTCATCGAGGCTTGCCTCGTCTTCGGAGGGAGGCGTATAGTTATCATCCTCGACCTCTCGGTCTGCCGCTCTCTCATGAGGGCTGGCTTCTCCATCTTCCTGTGCCGAATCTTGCTGAGGTGGGTGTTCTTCGGCGCTATCCGGGGTAGTATTATCTCCCGTGCCGGAATCACCGTTTTTGCTTTGGCGGGATTTAGAGCGGCGCCGCTGACGCCGACGCTTTGGCTGTTTCTTGGGGGCGTCATCCCCCACTGTTCCATCGCCATCTCCATCTTTTGGAGTATCCACCATATATATGTCATATGACGAGGTGGCCTTCCAGCGCCCTACAGGTGCTGGTTCCTGTTCGTCTCCTACATCATCGTCCATGCCGTCGATGTCTTCCAAGCTGAAGTCAAGCATGTCGGTTAGATCGTCGACATTGGCTACAAAGTGGGTGGTGGGTGGGCTTTAAATTTCCTCATCGTCCGTATCCCTCCCTCGCTGACCGTAGTCCGGCCAGGGCTCTCCTGATAAAGAGAGAGACTTAAGAGAATTCAGGATGTCACCAAAAGGCGAATGCTGAAAGATGTCTGCGGTGGTGAACTCCATTATCGGCGCCCAATCGGATTCGATTGGCAGGGGCGCGGGGGGTTCGGAGTCCGGGAAGGAGTCCGGATCCTCGGAGTCACGGGTCGTGCAGAGTGCGGGGCTAGCGTTCGGCTCGATCGCTTTCGGGGTCGTAGCCCCCGAGGTGACGTCCAACCGCTCATCCTCGATTGGCGCAATAGGCTCCGAGTTAGGGGTTGGAACCGATGCGTGTGCGGCCTCCAGGACACTGTCCGGGGGCAGAGCTAGATCATGCCCCTCGAGATAGTGCGGCGCGCTTGGCCGTGGCTCGAGCCCGTCGAAGATCAAGTCTCCGCGGATGTCAGCCGTGTAGTTTAAGCTTCCAAACCTGACTTGATGGCCAGGGACGTAGCTTTCGATATGCTTCAGGTGGCCGAGCGAATTGGCCCGCAGAGCGAAGCCGCCGAAGACGAAGATCCGTCCGGGGAGAAAAGTCTCACCCTAGACCGCATCGTTGTTGATGATCAAAGGAGCCATCGGGCCTAAAGGCGACGACACAGAGGAACTCTCAATGAAAGCACCAATGTCGGTGTCAAAACCGGCGGATCTCGGGTAATGGGTCCCGAACTGTGCGTCTAGGCCGGATGGTAACAAGAGGCAGGGAACATGATGTTTTACCCAGGTTCGGGCCCTCTTGATGGAGGTAAAACCCTACGTCCTGCTTGATTAATATTGATGATATGGGTAGTACAAGAGTAGATCTACCACGAGATCAAGGAGGCTAAACCCTAGAAGCTAGCCTATGGTATGATTGTTGTATATGGAGTTGATTGCCTACGGACTACAACCCTCCGGTTTATATAGACACCGGATAGGGTTAGGGTTACATAGAGTCGGTTACAATGGTAAGAGATCTTGAATATCCGCATCGCCAAGCTTTCCTTCCACGCCAAGGAAAGTCCCATCCGGACACGGGACGAAGTCTTCAATCTTGTATCTTCATAGTCCAGGAGTCCGGCTGAAGGTATAGTCCGGCTACCCGAACACTCCCTAATCCAGGACTCCCTCAAAGAACCTCATGGAACACGAGGACCCCATCGAGGATGAAGCGCCCTTGGATGAACGCCGATTGATTACGGTGTGTCAACCGGTCCACAGGTGGTGCCGTCCTATTGGCGTGCACCTTAGCAAGGATACGATAAATCACGTTGATAACAGTGATCGGGCGAAATGGGCGGATGTCCAAGGCTCGAGGAACCTTCGGGATTAGGAAGATAATCCCGTAGCGCCGACGCTGCCTTTCAGGGTACGAACCTCCTCGCACACCCCTTGCGCACGGTATCCATGGAGGTGATGTCAAATTTAAGCTTTAGCTCACGACCTAATTGAACAATAACAACTGATGACATTGGCAACACTGATTGTGCATGAGAAGAATTACATCGGCTGCGTGTGCGCTCGCATAGCTTACAGAGCAGCGCTCTGTTCTAATTATTCTAACATAACAAAATCATGTTGGCATTTGAAGAGAAAACTTATAACAAGTGAGCATATTTTACTAATGCACATTAACTGACCCGTGTTATCCAAGTAGAAAATAGAGCGCTATACAAAATAGCGTCACCTCTGAAAATACGCTATTAGCGTGCTATAACGCGCTATAGCATGGTATTAACGAGACATTGTACACGCTATAGCGTGCTATTTTTTCTAGTGGTTTTATCGTGTGCTTGCCCTCTCGGACAGTTGAAGATGTAATTGCGCAGCCAATTCAACTCATCCGGGATTGTAATGAACCCATATACGAGCGTACATGCTCTGATCATCGTCGATTTGGAGTGATTGGTTTGTACGAGAGAAACTGCAACCGTAGAAATGGGGGAACACCCCTTTGAATGTGGTTTGCTGGTCCTATAGAGCCGTTGACTGGAATGCAAACAATAAAAAGTAAGCACCGAAAGCCTAAAAAAAAGGTAAGCACCGAAGAAGAACATCAAGCTTTGTTTGTCAGAAGGGCAGTCCAGTGTTGCAAGTTGGGACATGGTGTGATATGATGATGTCACCTCCTCTTGGTTTTTGTGATAATTAATCAGTCCAGATCGCAACGTCTCTCTTTCTCTTGTCACGCTCTCACTCGCTAGCCGTTAAGCCAACCCCTCGCCCTCCAACGGTCGCAAATGAAATCCCCTTCCCACGCCATTGACTATATTAATCACGCTCGCTCACTCACTGCTTCATCCAACACTCTCAAGTCACCACCATCTTCTTGCCTCTCACAGTCTCCTTGCTTCAGTTTGCTTGGGAGTGATCAAGAATAAATCAGCTTGGGGTCTCGGCAGACAGCAGCAACAATGGCTGGTGGGCAAGTGGCGGCGCACAGGGCGTTCCTGCTCTGCAACTACTTGCTTCTGGGCACGGCGTCGGGCTGCATCTTCCTCACACTCTCGCTCCGCCTTGTCCCATCCCCGTCCGGCCTGCTCCTCGTCTTCCTCCACGCGCTCACCGCGGTCTTTGCCGCGGCTGGCTGCTCGGGCTCCTTCACTACCCCCACAGCCGGCGCCGGAGCCCAGCACACTGCACATACCGCCGGTGCCGTCCTCACTGCCATCTTCCAGGGTGCTGCAGCCGTGCTCGCATTCACCCGCACGGCTGACTTCCTCGCCGAGCTGCGGTCCTACGTCCGGGAGGACGACGGCGCGGTTATCCTCAGGCTCGTCGGCGGTCTTGGCGCCGCCATCTTCGTGCTCGAGTGGGCCTCGCTCGCACTCGCCTTCGCTCTTCGGCTCAGCGAAGACGGCGGCGAGGAGGCAACCGACGGTGGCGAGTACAGCAAGAGCTTGCCGTCTGGCTACCACGTCTGAGTCTGGTTCAGCTGTGGCCACTGGCCAGAGCCTGTCGAGATGGATGAACCGAGAGGCAAAATGAGGATATTTCTTTTTTTCTTGTATAAGTTAGTACAATTTAATTATTGTACCAGTACGAAATATGCAAAGGCAAACGTACTGTTTTGCTTACTGCATACGTTATATTTACTGGATCTGGTATATAGTGGAGGGGATTTATTTGCTCACTATATCAGGAAAGATCCTGTTGTGATCAATCATTCTGCTAGTGATTCCTCGCAATTCTTAGCTGTTACAGTAACATTTCTGCTCACTGGATTAAAAAAAATGCAAAGGCAAACATACTAACTGCTTTGCTTTGTACATTCGGTATCTATTGTACTTCCGTTCTTTACTAGTTTCATTTAGTCAGCCTGTAAACGGGATAACATTTTTATTCACTTTTTTTGCGAGTAAATTACTTTTTTATTCAGTGATGTAAAGATTGTGTAGTGTACAGTTTTGAAAAGTCACACTGCGCCATGGCCCTGTTTCCTGTCTGGTAGTCATCGTCCATCATGGCACTTTGCTAGTCACATTAACAGCAGAAGACCCTAGTGTTGGTGGCCTTTTCCTAAATGATCCAGACCACAACCAAGGCCCCTTTCCAAGGTTGCTCGCTCGCTAAACAATTTTTGCTTGAGCCAGAACGGAGGTGCATGGAGGAACAATCGAGGCTTCGGTGCTCCTCCGTGGCCCAATCATCAGACCAGATCAGCGACCCTGCTCTTCCCTCCGTTGTATTGCCTGCAAGTTTTGTCGTCCTGGCTTCTCCCCGTGCCAAGAAAGAACATTATATGCATATTGAGCTAACACTGAAATTCTTGATGCATCTCATTCCCCAAGACACATAACCGACATAATGGATATGGATCTGAGAAAGTTTGAACTATAGCTTCTTCATACTATGATGTAGTAGCCGAGGCCAAGTAATATATGGATGCCAGATGTACATGTGAATAATAAGAAGACTTTAATGCTTCGTCAACCACTGTACCACTTATTTATCTTGCTTGGGTACCAAGAGTATTTCTGGCAGTCACGCTTTCGCCTTTTCCATATAAAAAGTAGCTACAGACTTTCTTACTTATAAGGTCCTAAAGATACGAAATTAAGCACCAAGGTCACAAAGAGCTCATAAGGAGAGTACACCTTTTGGAGTTCAGATATGATGATGTTACCTCCTTTTGGGTTTTGTGACAATTAATTTATTAATCTGGCTTCATCACACACTGTCAAAGTCACCATCCTCAGTCGCGCCCTGGGGCGCCCTGTCCTCCATCTCTGCTTACAAACTCCTGCGGTTCGGAGGGCGCAGGCTAGCTTTGCGGACATGATCTGGGGGCGCGGGCCCCCTCGCGTGTGCAGTCTTTCTGCTGGCTGCTGGTTCAGAGACGTATCCACACCAGAGATGTCTTGCTTCACAAGTGCATTGTCACCGCGGAGGAGGCTAGCTGTCCGCTGTGCTCGGCAACCCTGGAAACCATGGACCATATGCTCTTCTCCTGCCCGTTCGCGGGCGATTTCTGGAACAAGATGGTTGTCGACGCCAGCAGCGTCACGGTGTGCAGACTGTCTGGCTTTGTAACCACGGTGGCTGCGGTGGCCGAGTCAGCAGTGGAGTTTGCCTTACTGTGCTGCTGGTAAATCTGGAAACACCGGAACGTTGTGGTCTTTCAGCGACAACATGCGTCTCTTGCTCGTGTGCTTGGGTGCTGCCGAGAGGACGCAGCTCTATGGCGTGGACGGCTCCTTGAGAATCGTAGGACGCATGTTGAATCCTGGCTGCATGCCCTCTCCCTCTAGTGTGTGTTCTTATGGTCTTTCCTGCCCCCTCCTCGTTCTGTAACTGAACCATCTGTAACCTTCCTGGGGTTTTAGCCCCGCTGATCAATATATTCAGATGGAGAACCCTCCCCTCCCCGGTGAACATTCAAAAAAAAGTCACCACCCTCTTCTTGCTTCTTACAGCTCATTTCTTAATTTGCGTGAGTGTGAGTGACTAAGAGGAACCTTTGTGGTGTCGGTAATAATTATCATCACTCGCTCTGGCTCGTCCCTGCCACGTGCAGCCTGATCCTTGTCTTCCTCCATAGGCTCACCACCGTCTTTGCCACGGCCGACTGCCCAGGCTCGTACGTGCTCCTTCAGCGCAACTGTCGCCCGTGTGGGACGAGCTCAAAACACACACACACAGTCGTCACTGTTCTCACCGCCATCTTTGGCGCCGTGGCATCGCTCTCTTTCAACCGCACGGCCGACTTCTCATGGAATTGTTGTCCTATGTCAAGGTGGCCACATCCTCAGGATCGTATGCCATCTTCGTGCTCAACTGGGCACCGACATTGCTCGTTCTCACGCTCTGGCTAGGCGAGGACGACGGCAAGGAGCCGGCGGACGGTGGCGAGTACGGTAACAGTTGGTTGTCTGGCTACCACGTCTGATCTGGATGAACTTCTGGTCAGAGCCTTGCAGCCTGCCAACTATTTTTAGGGTCATAGCTGTAGAAAAGCTAGGTTAAGCGTATGCACAATGCAGGGCCGCATGCGTGTTGATATAAGGCTCAAAGGCCGGCAAGATTACAGGGTTGTTAGGCCACGGACTTGATCTCCAAGCTAGCTAACTAACAAATACGGGATCAGGTCTCCTTGGCCTAACTGATTACAAACACACGCACACGCTACAGATAAACATCGTTTAACACTCCCCCTCAATCACAACTATACAAGTTGAGATCGCGTCGGAAAGCTTGCAACGGCCTCAAAGAGAGAGGTTTAGTAAATCCATCTGCAACCTGATCATCGGTAGGTATAAACCTGATATTCAACAATTTGTCAGCCACCCTTTCTCGAACAAAGTGATAATCTATCTTGATATGCTTGGTCCTGGCATGAAAAATAGGATTAGCAGATAAATATGTAGCACCAAGATTATCACACCAAAGTGATGCTGCCTGCGGATGCCGAATACCCAGTTCAGTAAGCATATTTTGTACCCAGATAACTTCAGTAGTTGCATTTGCTAGGGCTTTATATTCTGCTTCTGTGCTGGACCTAAACACAGTGGCTTGCTTGCGAGCACTCCATGAGATCAAGTTACCACCCAGAAAGAATGCAAACCCTCATGTTGATCTTCTATCATCACGACATCCTGCCCAGTCTGCATCTGAAAACGCACTTACAAGCATGGAGTCTGACTTCCCAAGTTTAAGTCCATGACTGCGTGTTGCTTGGAGGTATCTAAGTATGCTTTTCACTGCTGTAAAGTGTATGCTGGTAGGAGCATGCAAGAACTGACAAACTTTGTTAACAGAGTATGAAATATCTGGCCTAGTTAGTGTCAAATACTGCAAAGCTCCTACAATGCTTCTGTATTTGGTAGAGTACTACAACTCTGTCCTACTATGAAATACTAGAGGCCCAGACCAAGTCCGGTACATGTGGATGCCAGGTGTACATGCCAACAATAACTAGGGCTCCAATGCTTCACCAACCATAGGGCTAGTTATTTATTTTCTGTGTAAAGTAAGATCCATTGTAACAGTAATCGAGACTGTGCCAGAAAAGGGGTTCTAGCAGTCGCATGATTACGTGTGAGGTTGGCACTCGCTCTTTTCAATGAGTGAGAGTGCGTGTATGTATGGTCTATATGTCACTTCCGAGCCCATCTCAAATGTAGTACTGTGCAGCTAAAATCTACGGCAAGGGAAGCAGAAACTAAGACAGTACCATAAAAACCGGTCAATATGGTCGTTGGTTTCTCTAGCTGCTACCTAGAATATGCAGGCAGGAAAAGTCAGCACCATATAAAGGAGATCACGAGAATTTCTGTCTGGGACGAGGAGTGGCAAGTGTTGCTAGTTGATACAGATGTGATACCATGATGTCACCTCTTTTTAGGGTTTGTGATAAAAAAAATTGAACAAACGCTCGTACAAACGCACATATGCTCATCCATATGAATGCACGCACACACACCCTATATCTATGAGCATCTTTGAGAGATTGAGCTGCCACATCATCTTGAGATTGTCGAATTCGCCACAAATGCCTTCGTAGTCGACGTGAACGTCTCCTCCCTCTGAACCACATCGTCGGAAGGCCTAAAATAAATTCAGAAAAATACGAACACGGATGTCAAGTCTAGGACTTGAACTCAAGTGAGCAGGAGATACCACTGTCCTCCTATAATCATTCAACCATAAGTTGGTTCGCAGTTTTGTGATAATTAGATAGTCCCAACCACAACTGTCTCTGTCTGTCTTCGGCAATCGGTAGCCGTTAATTATAAATCAACCCTCACCACCCAACGGCATCTACTATATCTAAATGGGAGCCCCCACTACCTGATTTTCTAGTCTTCTCATGTGTCCACGTCGTCATAAATTCTTTTGGCCGTTTGATTCACCACGTATGGCTCAGATCAACCAAGAGTGGATCATCTCGGCCTATGCAGTGCACGTCGCCCCTCACGTTGGCTCCTAGTACTTCTCTACCTGCGGAAGCAGAAGCGCAAGTGAACCTTCCTCCCGTCGAAACGTCTTCGCGACGGAATCCCACCTCATAAGCTGGCCGCTCCCTCTCCAATCACTCAAATATCTCTTCCCAAACGACACAAACTCCACGCAGCGACAAACGCAACAGAAGTACGGAACCCAACCTTCTCTAGGGTTTGCGACAGCAGTCGGGGAGGACTGGCGGCTACGGCGGCGATGGCAGGGCAAGTGCAGGATCGCAAAGACGATCGATCTAGAGAGAGGATGGTGGAGCTTCATGCAGAAGGGCATCAACAAGCTCATCAACATCCTTGAGGGCAAGCCGGTGCAGCAGTTCAACTCTGAGGGCTACATGATGCTCTGCACGTAAGTTGCCTCCCTCCCCATCCCCCTCCTACCATGCCTAGGCTTGGCCCGATTTGACCTGATCTGGTGATTAATTGATCTAGGGTTTCCGCCCACCCCTATTTGTCTGGTGATTAAT